AGACATTTCGTACTAAACGATAAACAAGATATAAAATATGGAGAAAGAAGTGGTCCCTGGTGTATTATGAGGTTATGTTTAAAGGGGAATCTGTAATAAGCGAAATGTGTAGATGGAAAAACCCTCACTGTACACTTTATACACTTTTTTTTATCACAGAGTAGAAGCAGAAGGTTTTTTTTGTTTGTTATTCTGAACATTTAGATGTTTGGTCACATTTTCAAAGATTTTCTACATTATCAAAAAGTGAAGTGCTAAATAATGGCTGACCAGAGAGAGAGAGAGAGATCAGAGAGAGAGACGAGATGGACCATGGACCAGGGAGAGAGACCATAGACAGACCAGACCAAAGAGAGACGGATCAGGGAGAGACCAGAGACAGACCAGAGATGGACCAGGGAGAGGGATCAGAGAGAGACCAGAGAGAGACCAGACCAGACCAGAGAGAGACCCGAGATGGATCATGGAGAGACCAGAGATGGACCAGGGAGAGAGACCATAGACCAGAGATGGACTAGGGAGAAAGACCAGAGACAGACCAGACATGGACCAGGAAGAGAGAAGGGAGAGAGACCAGAGATGGACCAGAGACAGCCACGAGATGGACCAGGGAGAGACACAGGAGAGAGAGAAACCAGAGAAAGAGGCAAGAGATGACGTCCTCTAAACTAATCAACTGAGAAACAGATGAGAGACAAACATAAAAAAAAAAAAAAAAGTCTTAAATATCATCACGGTTACAGTAAGTTAGAAAACAGAACTTTTGTACAGAAGGGCCGGGGGGAGGCGTGTTCGTGCAGATTTATGCCAGCCGTTCCTGATGTTATTGACTTCATGAAGATATAATTAAACAACTCCAATTTTCTTTTCGATGTGGACAATGTTGGGATACAGGTAAAAGTGAGCAGCAGATTTCTTTGTCTGTTGAAAACCGAAAGACTTTACCTCCGTCTTGTACGAAAACGTTTCTTTCTCGCACCGTTCCCCTCCCGCTCCTCAGCCCGCTTCATGTTTTTGCTTGTTTACTCGCTCGTTTCGCCGCTGCAAACTTGAACCGGTCTCTCACCTTCAACTAATCTTTAGCCAAATTCCTGCTTCTCCACAACCAAATGCATCTCATCGGTCTCACCTCTGCGGCTCTGCGTGTGGTTTGAGGTTGTTAAAAGTTGTGCCAGACGAATAAATGACTAAAGAGGTGAAGAGATGTCGATCTTTGGGCAGAATAAGCTAACGATCGGGTCAAAGATACAGGACATTAGCAAATGAATTCATGATAAATTGCCACCTTTGGCTATGGTCGCTCTCCGGGCTGACCTCCTGATCGCTGCTCAAACTTAATATTGGATTTCAGCGAAGGAAAGAGTGGCTAATGTTCAGACAAAACGACAAAATCATCCATAATCCACTGCATGTATCAGTAAAAGTCTGCTTCTAGACTTTTACTGAGGGCAGGTATAGATAGATACACTTTACAAGAAGCGAGAAATTATTTGCTATTTGCAGTAAAACCCCATTGGAAAAACTGTGCAAGACTACCCCAGTGTGTTTATTAATCCAAAGCCTGCATTATACTAAAGTTACACAGATGTCTGAATACTTAGACGTGTATGAATTTGCTTAAAAAAATAAAACTAGAAATAAGAAGGATCTCACTTTAATCCCTAAGAAAGTTCTACAATTGTTGAAGGCATAAAATCGCAAACAAACTAATACAATTATACTCGGACTAAAATACGTAGCTTTTTGTCTTTGTCATCTAGGTACTGGGGACTGGCCTCCTGCTGGGACTCTGAGGAGCACAGGGACCGGCCTCCTGCTGGGACTCTGAGGAGCACAGGGACCGGCCTCCTGCTGGGACTCTGAGGAGCACAGGGACTGGCCTCCTGCTGGGACTCTGAGGAGCACAGGGACTGGCCTCCTGCTGGGACTCTGAGGAGCACAGGGACCGGCCTCCTGCTGGGACTCTGAGGAGCACAGGGACTGGCCTCCTGCTGGGACTCTGAGGAGCACAGGGACCGGCCTCCTGCTGGGACTCTGAGGAGCACAGGAACTGGTCTCCTGCTGGGACTCTGAGGAGCACAGGGACTGGCCTCCAGCTGGGACTCTGAGGAGCACAGGGACTGGCCTCCTGCTGGGACTCTGAGGAGCACAGGGAATGGCTTCCTGCTGGGACTCTGAGGAGCACAGGGACCGGCCTCCTGCTGGGACTCTGAGGAGCACAGGGACTGGCCTCCTGCTGGGACTCTGAGGAGCACAGGGACCGGCCTCCTGCTGGGCTAAACATTTGAGATTCATGCAGCTATAATTGAGAACAGTCTTCCTTAAAATGTGAAACAGGCTTCTTCTTCTCTGACAATGTTCAAGTCCAGATTAAACCAGTTCTGTTTTGCTGCACATACAACTGAAGGATTTATTCTTCACTTTTTTGAATTATTATAATTTTTTGTTTGACAATTATTTTATTACAATTATTTTTGTTTGATTCTTTGTCAAAGCTTGTGTTAAAGTCGACAAAATCAAGACAAATTTAACCCAATCCAAGCTATTTTTATTTTTTGCATTTTTTTTTGTCATTTCTTTTCCGTGAATGAGGTTCAACTCGAATGATCAATAACGTTACATCACGGCCGCCGCATCGATCGGGCGCCGTCTTAGCCCCGGACCCAGCGGCGCTCACGGAACTTACAAACATGGCCGACACAACATGCTTATTCCTAATCATTAACGGCCTTAGCTGCCTCTTTCTCTCTCGCTGTCACACACACACACATGAACACGCGTGATCTCTCTGTTTCCATGGAGACGGCCCGTGTCCCGCCACCGCTGCTGACCACCGCCACACGGCCACAGAGAGAGAGAGAGAGAGGATTTAACAAGGAAATCAACACTCGGGTCATAAATATTAGCGAGCGGTGAAGAGGAAGCATCTCGACCTGATGGAAGAAGTGTTAGTGACAAACGACACACGCTACACACTAACTACACACCAACTACACACTAACTACACACCAACTACACACCAACTACACACCAACTACACACTAACTACACACCAACTACACACTAACTACACACCAACTACACACTAACTACACACTAACTACACACCAACTACACACCAACTACACACTAACTACACACTAACTACACACTAACTACACACTTATTACACACAAACTACACACTAACTACACACACGCTACACACTAACTACACACTAACTACACACCAACTACACACTTATTACACACAAACTACACACTATCTACACACCCACTACACACTAACTACACACCAACTACACACCAACTACACACTTATTACACACAAACTACACACTAACTACACACACGCTACACACTAACTACACACTAACTACACACCAACTACACACTTATTACACACAAACTACACACTAACTACACACCCACTACACACTAACTACACACCAACTACACACCAACTACACACTTATTACACACAAACTACACACTAACTACACACACGCTACACACTAACTACACACCAACTACACACTTATTACACACAAACTACACACTAACTACACACCCACTACACACTAACTACACACCAACTACACACCAACTACACACCAACTACACACTAACTACACACCAACTACACACCAACTACATACCAACTACACACTAACTACACACTAACTACACACCAACTACACACCAACTACACACTAACTACACACTAACTACACAATGGTTCTAGAACGCTTTTTTCATGTTTGAGGATTCTATTTCAACTGCACCAAACAACAATAAAACTCAAGAAGGGGAGAAAGAAAGGGACTGGAGCACAGGGATGGTCTCCTGCTGGGACTCTGAGGAGCACAGGGACTAGCCTACTGCTGAGACTCTGAGGAGCACAGGGACTAGCCTACTGCTGAGACTCTGAGGAGCACAGGGACTAGCCTACTGCTGAGACTCTGAGGAGCACAGGGACTAGCCTACTGCTGAGACTCTGAGGAGCACAGGGACTGGCCTCCTGCTGAGACTCTGAGGAGCACAGGGACTGGTCTCCTGCTGGGACTCTGAGGAGAACAGGGACTGGTCTCCTGCTGGGACTGAGGAGAACAGGGACTGGTCTCCTGCTGGGACTCTGAGGAGAACAGGGACTGGTCTCCTGCTGGGACTCTGAGGAGAACAGGGACTGGTCTCCTGCTGGGACTCTGAGGAGCACAGGGACTGGTCTCCTGCTGGGACTGAGGAGAACAGGGACTGGTCTCCTGCTGGGACTCTGAGGAGAACAGGGACTGGTCCCCTGCTGGGACTCTGAGGAGAACAGGGACTGGTCTCCTGCTGGGACTCTGAGGAGAACAGGGACTGGTCTCCTGCTGGGACTCTGAGGAGAACAGGGACTGGTCCCCTGCTGGGACTCTGAGGAGCACAGGGACTGGTCTCCTGCTGGGACTCTGAGGAGAACAGGGACTGGCCTCCTACTGGTCCCAGAGTCAGGACTAAACACGAGTAGATAGATAGATACATTATTGATCCCCTGTAGGAGAAATTCAGGTGTCCAGCAGCGTTTCAGATTGTTTTTAATGATTTGTGCTATACATATAAACTTGCCTCGCCTACTATTATCATGATCCATTTTTTTTTTTTTACTATATCACCAAATCAACTTCTAAGTGATTTTTCCCCTCTCTGACAATAACCATTAAACAAAATCTAACATTACAAACTTGCCTTTAACTCTACACTTGTTGACGTTGTAATCAGAATAAATCACAATATATTTTCTCTGTGTGCTGATTTTTTTTTTTTTTTTTATCAAACAAATTGTCAGATTGTGGATTGCTTTATCCCAGTAACCACGGCGATGGCAGGTTCTTTGATACGTCTTCCTTCTTTTGGTCCAAACGCTCGGACGCTGCTGTTGCTTTTCCTTCTTTTGCGTCTCTGGAGTGTTTATTAAAGTGATACTGTACCTCTTTCTCGCTCCACATATTTCTGAACCGATCGATGGCCCTGACTCCCGACAAGACAATAATCGCGGCCCCCTCCCGCTCCTGCCTCCCCCGTCCTGCCTCCCCCCTCTCTCCGTTATTACTACCCTCCCCACGGAGATCACACCAGCAGGCAGAGACACAGACACTGGGGCGATGGGAGAGGAGAGAGGAGAGAGAGAGGACAGGGGAGGAGAGAAAAGAGGAAGAGGAGGAGGGAGAGATGGAGCAGAGGAGACAGAGAGGAGGTAGAGGAGGAGGAGGGAGGGATGGGAGTAGTAAAGGGAGACAAGGGAGAGGAAAGAAAAGAGGAAGATGAGGAGGGAGAGATCGGGTAGGACGGAGAGAGAATATGAAGGAAGTGGAGGAGGAGGAGGACGGAGGGATGGAGGAGGTAGAGATGGTGGAAGAGGAGGGAGAGGAGGTGGAGGAAAGGGAGTTAGGAGGAAGAAGAGGAAGGGGAGGAAATGAGAAAAGAGAGAGGAGAGAGAGGAGGGAGAGATGGGGTAGAGGAGAGTGAGAGAAGGTGGAAGGGTAGGTAGAGGAAAGGGATGGAAGGAGTAAAGGGAGAGAAGGGAGAGGAGAGAAATGAGGAGGATGAAAAAGGAGAGATGGGGTAGAGGAGAGAAAAGAGGGGGAGAGGAAGGAGAGGAAGTAGAGGAAGAGGAGATGAGAGGAGGTAGAGGATGGGGATGGAAGGAGTAAGGGGATAGAAGGGAGAGGAGAGAAATGAGGAAGATGAAAAAAGAGAGATGGGGAAGAGGAGGTGGAGGAAAGAGGAGATGGGAGGAAGAAGCGGAAGGGGAGGAAATGAGAAAAGATAGAGGAGAGAGAGGAGGAGGGAGAGATGGGTAGAGAGAGAGAAGGTGGAGGAAGGAGAAGAGGAGGGAGAGGGATAAGGAGTGGAGAGAGAGAAAGGAGGAGGCTGAGAGAGGAGTGAGAGGAGGAAGAGGAGAGAGAGGAAAGAGAAGGGAGTGCAAAAGGTGGCAGAATTGGAAGGAAAAGAGGGAGAGAAAGGAGGATGGGGAGATGAGGAGGAGGAGGGAGAGAAAGGAGGAAGAGGAGGAGGAGGAGGAGGAGGGAGACCAGGTCGAGAATCTTTTCGTTTCAAAGTTTGTCGATATTTTAACAACTTGTGTGTGTCTGTTTCTGTCTAGTTTTGTTCAGCACTTTAAGTTTCCTCATGTATGACCTGTGCTATACAAATAAACTAGACAGGACCAGTTATTCGGAACGGGATTGAAATTGTGTATCGACCATAATTGAAAAAAAAATCTTCTTTCACACACTTTTTGACCCAAATCACAACCATATACAATTATTATCATTATTATTATTATTATTATTATTATTATTATTATTATTATTATTATTTTTAGAAATGACGGCTTTAAATGTAAATGAACAATGTAGAAAAAAAACATTGTCAAAGAGAAAATAATTTTTAATATACATAATTTATTTAGCTTTTATTTATTTGCTTTTTTCCTATTGAAAGACAGAATATTCCAAATTGGCTCAATCTGCTTTTTATTATTCTTTATGGACCTTGGCTGGAGGCATGGACTGTCTCAAAGCTGGAGGGGACACACACACACACACACACACACAGACACACACACACACCAAATACAGACACACAGACACACACACACACACCAAATACAGACACACAGACACACACAGACACACACACGCACACAGACACACACACACACACAAACACACACAAACACACACGGACACACACACAAACACACACGGACAAATACACACAAACAGACAAAAACACACACACACACACCAAACACACACGGACACACACACACAAACAGACAAAAACACACACATACACACAGACACACACACACACACACACACAAACAGACAAAAACACACACACACACACACCTACACACACAGACACACACCAAACACACACGGACACACACACACACAGACATACACTCCAATGGCATTATTAGGAATTCGGGCCGAGTAATTGGGTAGCAAGAACAAGAATGGGTAAAAATGACTGGGACGTAGAGTGCGGACAGGCGGCGAATAAATGAGCAAAGATGAAAAAGTATCAAAAATCTGGCGATAATGGTTTTGTGTAGAAGGCAGAGGAGAGAAATAAATAAAAAGACATGTTTTTTTCCCTATTTCTTGAGCAGTGAGAGCTTCAGAAAGAGGAGCACAGGAGGAGAGACACAATTTGGGCTTTAACAAAGATGCAGCGGATCACAGGAAATAGGAGTGGACCGAGGACGGACGCTGGACTGAGCTGGACTGAGCTGGACTGGACTGAGCTGGACTGAGCTGGACTGAGCTGGACCGGTCGTTGATACAGACTGAGGGTTTTCATTTCTGGATTAGATTTGAGGCTAATGAATGATTGAGCCACTAGCAGGAAAGTGTTTTATTGTGGAGATGATGGTTGTTCAATGTAGAAAAATAAACAAAAAGTGAGGATAAATAGGTCAAAATTTACAAATTAAGATAGAGAGGAGAAAGAAGAGAAAAGACAGAGGAGAGAGAGGAGAGAGGAGAAGAGAGAGGGAGAAGACAGAGGAGAGAGAGGAGGGGAGTGAGAAGAGAAGAGAGAGGAGAGATGGGAGAGGACTGAGAAGAGAGAGGAGGAGAGAGGAGAGAAAAGACAGAGGGAGGAGACATAGGAGAGAAAGGAGAGAGGGAGAAGACAGAAGAAAGGAGAATGGGGAGAATGGGGAGAAAGGAGAGAAGGGAGAGGATAGAGAGGAGACAAGAGAGGAGAGAGGGGAGACAGAGGGAGAAGACAGAATAGGAGAGAGAGGAGGAGAGAGAGGAGAAGCGAGAGGAGAGAAAAGAGAGGGGGAGGAGACAGAGGAGAGAGAGGGGAGAGGAAAGAGGTGATAGAAGAGAGAGGAGAGGAGAAAGGAGAGAGTAGAGAGAGGTGAGGAGAGAGAAGAGAGAGAGGACAGAGGAGATGAGAAAGGAGACAGGAGAGAGAAGAGAGAGGAGACAGATGAGATAGGAGAGAGAAGAGTGGAAAGAGAGGAGGGCGAGAAGGGAGGGATGAGAGGATAGAGGAGCAAGACTGGAGAAAGGAGAGAATAGAGAGAGAGTTTATAACAAATGTGAAATGTCTTGAAACATTCTAATAAACCTCATATATGTCCGTATCCATAGACCGACAGGAGAGAGGATTGTTTGAATAAATTCGGTCCGTTCGTCCTCCACCATACGTCAGAATCAACACGCTCTCTTCTTCCACGAGTCCAGGTGGTTCTGGCGGCGTATTGACAGCGATATTAAAGCCGGTATAAAAAGCCCATAACCCAGTGTGTAAATCCTCCTTAGTTTGACCAGCGCCTTTATCCCGCTGAGGCTCGGGGAATTTGATAAGTCCAAAGATGGTCGAATTTTCCCCACCCAAAGAAAATCATATTACCGCTCAATTTGGAGTTATGAGCTTGTCATGTGACCGCCGGGATGTTTATGTGCGGATCCAGGGCCTAGAAATCCACCGTGTTCGACGTGAGATAAAGAAAAGAAGAAAAAAAAATGCAGTGGAAGAATATTGACGGAAGGAAAAGGGGATGGATTTAGGTTTTTTTTGTGTGTTTGATTTTTGAGAGATGCAGGGACTGACATGTCTCAATTGTGGTTTGTCTATAGGGAGAGAGGAGAGAGAGATGGGAGAGAGGGGAGGGAGAAGAGTGAGGATAGAGAAGGGAGAGAGGAAGAGAAGAGGAGGAGAGAGAGGGGAGAGAGGGGAGGAGGAGACAGGAGAGAGAGGAGAGGAGGAAGAGAGGGGATAGAGGAGAGAGAGGGGAGAAAGGGGACAGAGGGGAGAGAGGAGAGAGGGAAGAGAGGAGATGATAGAGGGGAGAGAGGATGGAGAGGAGGAGAGAGGGGAGAGAGGAGAGGAGGAAGAGAGGGGAGAGAGGAGAGAGAGGGGAGAAAGGGGAAAGAGGGGAGTAGGAGAGAGGAGAGGAGGAAGAGAGGGGAGAGAGGAGAGAGAGGGGAGAAAGGGGAAAGAGGGGAGAGAGGAGAGAGGGAAGAGAGGAGATGATAGAGGGGAGAGAGGATGGAGAGGAGGAGAGAGGGGAGAGAGGAGAGCATAGAGAGGAAAGAGGAGAGGAGGAGAGAGGGGAGAGAGGAGAGCATAGAGAGGTGAGAGAGGAAAGAGGAGAGGAGGAGAGAGGGGAGAGAGGAGAGGATAGAGAGGTGAGAGAGGAAAGAGGAGAGGATAGAGAGGTGAGAGAGGAAAGAGGAGAAGAGAGAGGGGAGAGAGGAGAGGATAGAGAGGTGAGAGAGGAGAGGAGGAGAGGGGAGAGAGGAGAGGATAGAGAGGGGACAGAGGATGGAAAGGAGGAGAGAGGGGAGAATAGAGGAGAGAGGAGAGGAGAAAGGAAGGAGAAAGAAGAAAGTGAAGAGAGATAGGAAACAGGAGAGAGGAGAGAGAAGAGAGAATAGAGGAAAGAGGAGAGGAGAAAGAGGACAAAGGAGAGAGAGAGGTATCTACAGTATAATGGACGTAACTTTTATTTTACATCTTCATAAGAACAGATTTTAAAACGATACATTATTACAACACACATTGATATTAAAGTGCACAAATGTCACTCTTTTTCTGATGTAGGAGCTTTAAAGGTCCCCTAGTGTCTCCTTTCTTGTGTCTTACCTTGTCTTTTTTATAGAGATGTGTTGCTGGTACTACTATTGCTCCGGTTGCCCTGGGGCAGACTGATGATAGCGAGGAAACTTATCTGTGCCATCGGCCCCTCCGACCACTGCCAGCCATTCATACACACACACACGCACACACACACACACACGCACACGCACACGCACACACGCACACGCACACGCACCCACACCCTAGGCAATGTAGGTGAAGTGTCTTGCCTAAGGACACACCAACAGTTTGGTATTTTACAGTCGCCTCTCTGTATACCCATCACAGCACTAACCAGGCCCTTCTTGCTTAGCTTCTGAGATATGACAGGATCAGGCTTTCGCAGGCAGGTGGCGCCACAGATTTCTAATTCGTTTGATTTATTAATTTGAAATCGTTCACCGTTTTCTCAGACTGTATAACAAGTACACACATACACACAGATATACACACAGATATACACAGTAAGCGATAATTGACGGTTTAATAATACGTCATAAAACGTCAATAATACAAAAAAATATGTATTATAATCACCCTTTTTTCATGTCTCTTTCTGTCCAGATGGATTTTTCTCTTAACTTGGTAATTTCCCATATCTATCCAATGCTAAACGATTATTGAACTTGCCACCAATCATGTTCCAGGCGTTCTTTGTATAAAAAAAAAAAAAACTACGTAATCAATACCGGAACCTTCCCTATACCTTTTCAATCCAACGTATGAAAGCAATAGGTGTCGGATCGAGGCTTTTCGCTGTAAATTCCGCTTTTCGGGGAGACGTAAAAAGCAGGTGTGAGGGTAGAGCTTTGCCGGTCTTATCGATCGGCCTTGACTCAAATTGCCTCCCAATTAAA